CCTCACCTGCGTGCGCGGCGGCAGCCTCCAGGCGGAGAGCCCCGCGGGACGGTGGGCGGCTGCTCCTCGCCGCGGCCGGAGAAGGAGGGAAGGGGGCAGAGGAAACCCTTACCCGCCAGGAGAGTTTTGAATGCAACCGCGGCGACGGCGGCCCGCCCCTCGCCCCGCCCCGCCGGGTGGCGGCCGGGGGAGCGGCCGTTTCTCTCTGCTCCGCCAGGGAAAGCGGGGGCGAGACCCGGCGCGCACAAACTCCAGCCCCAGCGCCGGTTGCGCCGGGGTGGGGAACGTTACTTCGCCCGTCCGTCAGGGCGCGGGCGGGCCTGCCGGTGCGGGGAGCCCGCGCCGCCATTTTGCGCCGCCATTTTGGGCTGGGCCGGGCAGCCGCCGCTGAGGGGAGGCTCTCCGCCCTCCCGGGGAAAGGGGACCCCCAAACGCCGCCTTCTCAGGCGCCGCGGCCCCGCCGCCCTCGGGGCCGGAAGCGCCTAGCTTCCAGGCCGTGGGCGTGAGGCGCTGCTGCCGCCGGCTTGCCTCGGGCACGCAGAGCTAAAACGCTCCTGGAGCGCCTCAGAAAAGCCCGGGAGTCGTTCTGAAGGACAAATCTCACCCAAAAGCTAGGGTTTGTTCGTCTGCAGAATTCAGCACCTGGCTTGCAGCCTTCACCTGCGAAAAGGTGACATTTTACAGTCTTATTAAAAGGAAATTTTCTTCTGAAGTAATTTTCGTTTCAGCCCAAGTTGATGCGTTGCTTTCCACACACCTTCGAATTTGTCCTCAAGAAACTGACATTGCCTGTGCAGATGTGACAATGTTAAAATATTTTAAGGAAATTACATGCAAGGAAAAAGCAGCCAAATAGTTTGAAGAACAGCAGTTTACAGTGGAGGTGCGGAGGGAATTTGCAATACAAACAAGGCTGATAAAAACACTTCTACCAGCTGCCACAGGCATGTGAATGGTAGCCCTTGCAAGAGTCCTAAATCCTACTCCTATTACTATTTTTCTGGTATTTTTTAGTACATTAGCTGATGAGTATTAAATAATACAAATTATTAAATAAATTTATTCCTTTCAACTTAATTCAGTAGTGGATTGACAAAACACCCACCACACCAGCCCTGAAAATCGGACTTGCAGTGGGTAACGATGCTGCAGACACACAGACCTGCCTGTTGCTTTATTTCTTGCTCTGGGGAACCCATGACTGGCATTAAAAGTGCTATGGTGTGGGGAAAAGACTTAAGTGTCCTTCTCTAATACATATTCTGTGCTCCATGCATGACAAATTCCACGGTTCAAGGGGCCTAAACTTGCTTGTACTAAGTTTACTAATTTACTAAGTTTATTAAGCACACTGGTCAGCAAATTAAATTAACAGTGGACAGCTTAAAACCAGAGACCCTCTCCCACCCAGCCCTATTTAAACAGTGGAAATCTTTGCCAGGTGATATTGCACATGTCAGTTACTGGGGTTTCAAAAAGTGATTGGACAAATTTGTGGAAGTAAAAAAAAAAAGCAATGGCTATTAACTGCCAAGACAACATTTTTTTCTCAAGAAGGTCCTGAGCTGCAAATCAGTGGAAAATGGGGAAATACACTGAGAAACTTCGATACTTACTGGCGCAGCTCTTCCGTCTCTTCCCCAGGTGTCCACTAGTGGCTGCGATTTTTTTTTCCCCAGGAAGAGCAAAAACACAGTGCCACTCCCCCTCCCTGCCTTGCAATGACACAGAAGCATTTCTTGCTTTGGGGGAAATAGCAGGGGTCAGTTCACCCCAAGACTAGGGACCACCCTCATTTCAGGAAAGTCACTTTCTTCATCAGGGTATCACCCTTGCTACATCACAGGGCAGGGGTTGGGTTAGCAGGACTTCGGTTCAGTCCTGGTATGGCTATGTCCACTTTGTGAAGGTCACTTTTCACACTCGCCTGGCCATACCAGCAGATAAGCCCTGGGTAGGTGTAACTGGAGGAAAGGCAGGCAGTAGATCTGCGTTTCACAAAGCAGAGCAAACAAGCAGCAGCTCTACTGGAGACATGGGGTTGCCATGATGCCTGCCAGGCGGATGCCCTCAAAAATCAGATCCAACTTGATTACAAGCCTCACAGCTGGAATGAAAGGTGGGGAAGTGCTAAGCTTGGTGCTCCTTTTGCCATAGAATTAAGGACAATGGCCATAAGCATCTATTGCTGCTAGGAGGGGCCATTCCCAAACTCCAGCCCTCCCTCAGTGGCTGCCCATCTGGCTTTCCATTGCTATGCCAAAGACATGGTAGGTGGCAGAACCGTGTCCACTACCTTTACCTCTTGCACCTGCCTAGGCACATGCCTAAAGCTTGGGCTTTGGAAAGAGAGTGGTGAAATAAGGAAGAAAAAGCACAGCACAAATTCTGTAAATACCAAGTAGGCTTTTTCCTGGCAAACATCTATGTCTCATGGTAATACATTTGCTTTTATGTTTCCTTAGGCCATCACAAAGAGAGGCAACATTATGATCATGACTCATAAATCCATTCCTATTGTTTACTAGGTAATAAGCTAATAACATGAGAAGTACATTCCCAGGGAGAAGGATGGCTCATTCCATTCAGAACTATAGCCTGCAAACCTTCCTAATCTACAAAATCCAATAGCCTCTCACTGACTTGTTCGTCATCATGATGCATTGGCTATCAGCAGTCCTGTGCAAGAAGTGCCCTGCATCCATTGGAAGGACAACAGCAGAATTTAGTAAGACGTGTTGGGATTTCTTGGCTGTTAGAATTTCTCCTAATACTGTAAGCAAAAACATAACATTGATGAAAGAGCTAGTAGCAGGATCCTCGCTATATGCCACAAACACTGCAAATAGAACCCTGGATGGGCTCTTGGGAGGTATCGGGTCTAGTTTTTCACCGTTCCATATGGTGGAAGGCTGGAACAGTGGAAGCTGATAGCTTCTTTTACAAGCAATTAGATCCATCAGAAAACCCAGTGAATAGTCTCTGCCTCCCTTGTTAGCAAGTCTTCTATGTTTCCAACTAGCCATTCAGCAGTGAAACTCAATGCCTAGAAGTGTAAAAGGATCATTTAGCTTGAAACTGATAAACCAACCTGAAGGTGCAGGTTTAACCTCTTCTGTGTATTGTTGGTTTGGGGTTTTTTTTTCCATTTAATTTCTCTCAGCTCAGCAGCATTGTTTCTAAGCAACAGGAGAAAGCTGCAGTCTTGCGTGAAGCCATAGCCTAATTTCCCTGGCACACAAACTGAGTGGCAGAGGCAAGAAAGGAACAGCAACATCAAGACGGAATTCCTCTTCATAGATACCTGAAGTCAGAGAGGCTCCAAACACAGATCCTGAGGCCTGTTCCAACAGCTGACACAGGTAGTGCGTGATTTCTTCTGTACAGGTATGAGAGAGAGAATAGGGCTACAATATCCAGTAACTTAGAGAGCTTACTCTAGGTATGTAATTTGTGTACTATGGAGCAGAGGAGTGAAGCATGCACTTTGATAGTACAATAAATTGGTGGGCCAGGTGCTGGCTTCTCTCTTTGCTGTGTCCTGTCAGGCCAGCTGTTACCTCATCTCTTCCAGCCTGTCCTCTTCCCAGTCCATCCCCTCTTTGTACCACATAGGTCTGATTACTACAGAGTGGGGAGAACAAGCCATGTGCTAAGAAACTCAGAATCAGCGGCAGGTCAATATATTGCATTATATGAGAGAATTTACATCACCATGATGGGGATGCAAGCAACCTGCAAGCTGACACTCAAGATTGATGCTCATCTTAAATGGGCTTATTCTGCCCATTTCCCATTACTAAACTCCTTACCCTTACTTTCAGTACTGTGCATGTTGTCTTCTCTTTCTTGACTAGATTTTTCTCAGCTTCTGTTGTAATCTTACTTAGAAAACGGTTTTGACCAGATTTTTGTAGGGAGTCTCCAAGTGTCCCATACTCATTATCTGTGATTCAGATTTGCTCACTGACACAGATACTTGGTAGGATGCACTTTTCTCTCTCCTAGATCCCACTAAGCTTATGTTACAGTGACAGCTAGAGTATGGAAAGAAAACGCCTGAAGAAAGAGATTGAAAAACTCCTGTAAGTAGTAACTGCCCAGAACTGCCTTCATTGCATTTGAGATGGAATTGTTCTCATTGCAAAGGGTTGTATGACCTAGCTGGATGACAACTGTAAAACCGTAGTCTTCTCTTGCTGGAAAGTATGAGCAGACTTCCTCTGAGGTGCTCTTCATTTTCTTACCCACAGTCTGCAGCATGATACCTGACTGCATATGTGACAGTAGAGATGTCAAAGCCCAGAACTTGCTCTGTGTCAGTGGGAATGACCAGGGAGGTGCAGAGTTTCTCCCTTTCAATGCAGCCAGTGCAGCTGCTGTCTGTAAGGGGTCTCCTAGTTCATGCAGCAGTGTCTCATGCTCTTTGACGCAGGAGTGCACAGCAGACAGCTCCTAGGGGAGGTAAGCAGTGTCCCCTCTACTCCATACAAATCCTGTGCCCATCTACCCTAGGACTGCTTGCATGGATCAGTAGTACTTAGTCTGAGGAAAGATTGCAGAATCAGGCCTCTCCTGAATGAGAAGAACAAGCACCACTGAAGCATCTTTCAGTCTGTTGGCTGTACAGTGAAATCCTTCTGTGAGTCCCCAGACTTCAAATACTTGATTCATATTTGTACTTCTTCCTATATTTTGGGGCCTTTGGGGAAGACAGCAGTGTGGTTTGAGGGAAGCTAAGATTAGCAGTGATGCAGAAAACTAACAACTTTCCTACTTAAGAGGTGTCTGTGAGAAATCCTGCGGCAGATTCTTAGCCCTGAATCATACCAAATTTAGCCCCAGTCTTGCACTAGCTTTAGAGTCATCTACTACATTTCTTATGCACCAGATTGCTTACAACCAGTTTTAATTTGGAGTTATTTTCTTGCTTTAAGGGGAGATTATGTTGGCATCAGACTACGAGAAAATGAATTTGATCCAGGAGGACAAAGGCAGCCCACCTTTCTAGATGACATGGTAATCACCAGACTTCATACTTCCTATCCTCTTTAACTGCAGGGCTACTGAGAACTCTGAAGAATGGCTGTTTGGTACAGCTAAGTAACCTGTTCCTAAAATGATCAATAAAAGCCCATTACTGCAATGAGTATCTAAAGAGATTGGCTGTGAATAGCATCCAGGTGTAATGTATCCAAGATAATTCAAGTTTCTGCTGATTTTTCAGCAAGACAAAGCTTATCCACAGAGGACATTTGATAAAGTTCAGGTCAACTAACCAAAGGGAATTATTCACAAACTAAAGCTGTGTGTGCATAACAAAACATCTTTCAGGTAAGCTGAGAAAGTCTTCCTGGCTGTGATTAAAACCCCTCAAACCTCAGCAAGTGTCTTACAACTGGTGAGGTACCCAGTGTAGCTGAGACAATACTGGGCTCCAGCTCACATTTCCCCGCATTTCTCTGGTCTTTCTGTCATCCCTCAGTCAAGCAATTACAGTAAAACAAAACACATAAGGTTCTTTTGTCTTTCCAGGTCCATTACAACTTAGCCTTCAGTGTTGCATTGCTGTGGCTAAGTGACATGGATGCTCAGACTGCACTGACAAGAGAGAAAATGTGAGTATTGCAAAGCTAAGGCCCTGCTGTTGCTGTGGGTTACACCAGTGTGAAAATGGAGTAAAAGCAGCAGTGAATCTAGCCCAGGACTACTTTTTGCATTTATAACACCAGGCTAATAATCTTCTTGTTCAAAACACCATACAGGAATTTTGCAGCTCACAACCGATACACGTATCCCAACCGAATTGAGAGAGAAGCTATGATATTATCTTCATATGCTGGAAAATTAATGGTAAGAGGGCAAGAAAGATAGAAATGTCTTTTGCTCCATGGCAGCAGTCTAGAAACACTCCCTGTACCCTGGATGTCTTTGTTCATTGAAAGCACAGTATACAGACAGTGCAAATATTACAAATCCATCTCATTTTTATCAGGTAGCCATTAAGTTTTGCTCAGCCTTAGAAAACAAAACAGGCAGTTTCAGTAGGTGGTCCTGTGTGTGTAAGTTACTTGTCTCACCCAAGTGCAAAATGGTGACCAAGTTTCAGGACCAGATTTCAATAGATTTGAACTAGCAGCGTGAAACAATACTAGGAGTTCACGTGAAAGCCGATTCAGAGATCAAAGGAAGGGGGTACGAGCTGGATGTCATACGTTCACTTTAAAGAATACTACTTCTGAGAGCTGAACCTCTCTCTTTACCTGTCTTCACAGAACAGCATTCCTATTGAAGAGATCTTTGAGGTTTACAGCATGAGGCCCTCAGCCACACACTGGCAGAGCTCTGCAAATGTGAGTGATTTGTTGGTTTTTCAGCATCTCTAATAGGGTCTGAGTGAAGATCTCTTACCTGTAGTGGCCTGGTCCAGCATGTAGTGCATAGGGCTGGCATTCTAGGAATGCAATCCACACATGGATTATTTCTCTTCTCAGAGTAAGCTGTTGAACTATTCCCTTCTCACATTTGCCATTACAGTTCAGAGCCTTGTGGGTGGCCTTTCAGCATCATAACGAGGTATAAAGCCACCATGTGCAGTTGTGGTTATCCATTGGGTACTTCATTCCTGCTGCTAGTCTTGAGGGTGTGTGTCAAAGCTGCAGAGTGCAGCACTTTTCTTAATTGCTTGCAGATCATATTGTGGGGGGGTCTGTTATAGCTACTGTTTATTCCAGCTCTCCCATACTAATAAAGGAAGGGACTTCATTCTATGGAAAGCAATCACTACTGTTAGACCAGCAGTCATCGAGGATATATGGATGATAGGTGGCAACATCCTACAATAAACTCTCATGTATCTCCTTGTTACAGCAGAATATAAGCATGCAGGTAGCATTCATGACCACAGGCTAGGTACAACAGTGTGAATTTTATCTGAAGTTAGCACTTTCCTTTGGGATTGTCATCTGGCTGCCAAAGATGTACTTTATCTGTGCCCAGTCCACTCAGGTTGCAAACCAGAAATCATCAGGGGACAATACCTAACGTTTGCTAGCTCCTGGCCTCTAGTGCTGCCTTGCACTGCTTGGCCTCACTGAGGAGCTAAAGTTGCTTTGCTGGCAAGTATACCCTGTAGGCAGTTGTATAAGCCAGTAAAACTCTCCCTGCATAGTCCACCTCTTTGCTACAGTTTTCCTGCCCTCCTCTTTTGTATGGACTCTGCAGATCCTTCGTGGTCTCCTTGACTCATTCTTATTCCCCTGTAAACTGATAAATCTTCCAGCTAAGGAAGTATGCTGTAGGTCTGAGATAAGGCATTCATCAGAGGAACCAAAGATGTGAAATTTGGCTAAAGACCTTCAACCCTGCAAGACAGAGACTTCCTGCCATACCTCCATGGGGTTTTTTGTAAGCTATTGTATGCTGCTTAGCAGAGTGTGCCAACACTGCAGGTCTTAATCTGGGATCGTGTTTAGACAGGTTCAATCAGTGCTATGTTTACAGAAGCCAACTCTCAGAAGGACACTCTGACACTTGCATAGGCATTACATGACACTGTTCAAGGAGATTCAGTATCTACATCCTAGGAATCCTTCCTGGATCCCAGTAAAGGATCAGAAATGGCACCTGTCAGAGAGCCTTAAATTCTCCCTTTACTGCAGTGTGAAAAAGAGTTGAATAAGAAGACAGTGCTAAGCCAATTTTTACTTGCAGTGCAGTGCACTCCTATGGAAGGTGGACATACAGATTAAACAGAACAAAGCAGCAACTCTGTGACTGCAGGGTCATGTGTGTTACCTGTGCACCTGCAGGGAAAAGATGTTCTAGAGTCTGGAAGTACCCTTGTGCCAAATCATATAATAGTAGCAGAAAACTTGCACAAGGTTTTACAGTTCAATTATTGCAGAGAGAAGAGGTAACATTACCTTGACTTGCAGATTTGATTAGACTATCTGACTTTGGGCAAGTCATTTAATCTCTGTCCTAATCAATCTGTGGCACAGTCTCGGTCATTATTTGCAGTTTAAAAGCCTCCAGAAAGAAGGAGGCTATGTTTCCTTGGGCATCGTGCTCTGATAACACAGCCTGCTGTCAGCCCATATACCAGAGTTGTTTGGGTCTAGTCAGCTCTCAAGACAGACAGCAGAGTGTGTGCCTCCTGCTTCCCTTCACCTGAGATTTCTAAGAGTGTATTTACGTAAACAAAGGAATCCAATACTGTTTAATACCTTCCAGACAAGTCACATCCCTGCTTTTTGGGAATGAAACCTTCGTGTGGAATGATCTATCAGGTCTTAGGGACCTTGTAAGACCTGAGCAGTTTTAGATGTTAGGACAACTTCTGCATCTCTAGTTCAAATACCTTTCTATTTACATTGGGCATTGTGACGGTCTGACAAATTCAAATGTCTCAAACATCCGCTAAAAGAGCTTTGGTGGACAAAACGGCCTCTGTAAAAATGCTGGAGTTTTGTGAACAGGACAATGTGGACAGAGGAGAGGGCCCCACGGAGGGTGGGAACGCACTTCTCCAAGGCCCCAATTCCTTATCTTGAGTGACCAGGAGAAGGAACACAATTTATGCCTTCCTGGAGGAAGAAGGCCCCATGGAAGTTGGGACTGTGCTTCTATCTTAAGTGGTCATACCAGCAGGAAAAGAGAAGCAACTCCACAATGAACACCCCCCCCCCAAAGCTACCGATTCCAGTGAACCCCAGGTGTGGGAACTGCGCATGCTGAGATAGAACGAATCCTCAGCGCGCGCCCTCCGGAACTGGATCTCTACGCTGGCTGGACCAACGCTGGACCCAGGACTGGTGAAACCCTTCTCTTCTCTCTTTCTTTTTTCTCTCTCTCTCTCTCTCTTTTCCTTCTCTCTTTTCCACAGTCCCTACACCTCATCCTTTGAAACATAAACCATTGACCAAGTCTGAGACTAGGAGTGGACCTAGCCGCCCCTGAGCTCCTCTTTGAGAAGGAGTCCAGAAAGCAAGGGGGTCTGCTCTGAACCTCGTGACTCAACGGGAGGGCTCTCCTTCTGATACATTTCATGTTCCTTTTTCCATTTCATTCTTTCTGTACTTTCCTCCTCTTCTCAAACAGCGGCTTAATGACATGTTGCAAGGTTCATATTAACAAGTTCATGTGTACTTGGACAAAGTTAGCTAGGTTGAATAAATGTTGATTGTTGTTTGAACTCCCCTGGTGTCGTTTCACCTTAATTCTGACAAAGGAAATCCATGAACCTGAGTCGCTCCAACTTTGGGACGCGACAGGCATAAATTGCAGGGTTTACTGCTTTCATGCAGTTTCACACATCAGTGCTGTGTTAGGCATAAATGGCAGTGTTTAGGCAGCAAGGGCTGCAGTGGTGACATATATGGGAGGAGACCATGAACTGTCCTGTGCCAGTCAGCTCAGAAACCTGTGTAAGCAGCCAGGCATGAGCCAAAACTTCAGCCAGAGGAGCACATGGCACTGCTACTCAAACATATTTAAGAAAGAACAGCAGCTACTAGGGAAGGAGACATGAGGACACTTGTAAGGAGCCGTACACAGTGACTATTAAGAGAGACATGGTCTTGGAAGGAGACATTCCCTCCATGCCATGGCCTGCAGGGACAAAAGCACAGAGGAAAAGTGAGAAGTACAGAGAAACACCAGACAGAAACCATTCGCACATGAGCCCAAACTCCTTTGCCACCCATCACCTCACAGAAGGAATTGGGACAGACTGAATGTAACCATGAAAAAACAAGGGAAGTTGAGACTAGGCAGGGGAGGAAAGGTGCTTACTATATTTAACCTCTAGAGTTTGACCTCTTGATGCTTCCCTCATTATACCACCACTGGGATCAGAAACCTCTAGCAGCATAAGGGTTACTTCTAAAATCCCTGCTCCATCTTTTTAGTCTAAAAAGCCACCCATTGCATGCTAGAATACTTGAATGATGTGCTCCTGGGTTAAGAGGTTTATGAAGGCATTTTGTTGGCATGCCTCTTTCTGGCTTAAATGCCTGGCTGACCACAGACTTCATGGTTCCTTTCTGGCCTGCACACTGGCGTGGGACTTTGCCAACCCAAGCAAACAAAGCACTGGTGCAGGGAAAGCAGACATATAAAAGCTCTTTGTCTTCAGTAGCTGACCTTCAGGGAGATGGTTTTGTTCTTTAAAGTGCAGAAGCAGCTTTTTTGGCTCTGTTGTGCTGTTCCTCTGTTGGACCTCTGCTGAAAATTATCCCCAGGCTACCAGAAAAAGAAACTGTATATGGTCCATGCAAAACTGGATATAGCAGGCAAACATAACTGAGCAACCAGATGGATTAAAAAAAAAAAAAAAGCCTTCAGTAGACAAAAAGGAGATAGATACTCCAGCTTTACTGATCAGATCTCATCTTGGCCCTGTAGAGATTTCACCAGTTAAAACTCTTGAATCCTATCCTGCCTTGAAACTAATACCAATACTTAGTCCCAGTCTTAATGTGGTCCCATTCCCAAGCATACTTAAAAGGCTTTCATCATTGCTAGCATCACACACCTTGCAGATTCCACTCCACACTTTTTGAAGTGTTCTGCCCGTTAGGTCTGAGAGAGTCCACCAAAGAAGAGGTACCAGTTCAGTGGTACCAGTGACTCCTAGCTTTGGCTATAGCGATAGTAAGCTATTGCCCCCTTCTCCCACCAGCCTACTGTCTAGACTGGTGTGCTATGAGCAATAAAGTGGAAGGAATCTCCTGCTGCATAAAGGCATAATGCATTTGGATCCTATAATATCTGTGCCTTTTAAAAAATGTTACATTTTAAACTCAAGTTTGCCCCTTTTGCCCCATTAGTAATAGCAAACTAGCTCCAGCCTTCTCTCTTTGAACAGAGCAAAAAGCTGAACTATTCACCTCCTCCTCTACCTTAGGCAAGAAAAGGGCAGTCCAACTATTCACAGCCACACTAAGATGTAACCCAGCTTTTGGGCCTTTGGCATAGTGCTTTACAGAAGACCATTCCCACCAGTGTGCTCTAATTATTACTAATGTGGAGTGGGGAAGGAGGCTATGCAGCATCCATGGAGATATAGCCTGCTTCACAAGGGCCTTGCCTGTGTTCAGAGCAAGTTTCTCTAGCAGCATATCTTTAGCCATTTAAGTGTAATTGCCCTTTAAAAACATAGAGGAAGTATTATAATCTTTAATTCATGACTTGAGTCACAAGAAAGTATTCTGTATGGCCCAGCTATTTAATGAAAGAGCATTTGTGCTGGAATATATAAATTTTATCTTCAGTAACACAGACTTTCTTGACATTTCCCAAGCAACCATTAAAAGTTGCTGTGGAACTGTAATCAGACTATAATAGTTGGTCCACATGTTATTCACAGTGTTTCTGGTGCACCTTTTGGTGTTTTTTAACCTGCCATGCTTAGCTGTAATATTAATGATGGACTACCACCTGGTGTCCAGAAAGGACTAGAGCTCACTCCAGCTCACAGGTGCATCAGAACAGCCTTGGCCATAACCTTTCTTAGTTTAATTTTCCCATGTCAAGAACTAGAAATGTCACTAGATGCCATGTAGGGGCATTTCAAAACATGTTAGTTTGAAGGAGGGATCTTCCCCTCTGCTCCTGGGATAAGTGGGTGGATCAGCTCTCCCTCCTGTTGCTGTGAACATTACGCTGTATGTGTTTACTGTCATGCTTCTTATGGGCAGGAATCCTTTTGTCTAGGAATTTCCAACCCAGGATATTTTTAGAAATCTCCATTTTGAGTGCACACCATACACTGCAGAGGAGTGATGTTTTCTTGGAAGGTTTCCAGCTACTCATGCTGTTATCCGTGGTGGTTTGTTGTTTTTTTTTTTTTTTTTCCTGGGGGTGGGGGAGGGTGTTAGTGTTGTTTTAGCTTTGATTTATGTTCTGATATTATGCAAGCAGAGACAAAGAAAGAACAGAAACAGTCTTTCTGTTCATCTCATGTTACTGTGCATTTGCCTAGATCCTGCCCCTAGTGGACTCAGGGATACTTCCTTGACGGTCATGAGGTAGCAAAGTTACAAAATTTTCTGAAGAGAAAGATAAGCCATTGTTATCAGGATATCCAGTTTCTATTTAAGCCAACAACGCTGCTTAATTTTAATCATGGATTTAAGATTATTCCCACTCTATAAGAAAGGAACGGAAATGCTTTGCTGAATTTGGAAACTAAGGGTAATTTATTTTGCAAAGCCCTAATTAGTTTAAGAGGTTAAATCTACTGTTTTCATTAACAGTAACTCTTGGAGCACAGCTTGTGCCTCCTTAAGAGTCCTCAACTCAAAGAGCTGGAACCCAGCCCACCTCAAAATTCAATTTCTGTGGATCTCAGGTTTGGTTATCTTCTCCCCCCACCCTTTCCCATCAAAGTAAAGTGGAGATTCCTGTTATCCTCCATCACTTTTGAAGTCTTGGCTTAGATCTCCTTGAAAATCAAGCACTAGCTTTACCAAGATATGTAGATACTTAGGAAGACTAAGTCACATCCTAGTGGGAAATTAGGGTCCAGAAGATTTCTGATTCATGAGAAGGGACATCCTAGCCTGAGATGGATATAATGGTTGCTATCCCAACTGCCTGCTGCTTCTCAGAGTTTCCTACCCCATTGTCCACCATTTCAGGAGCTGTCATGTGAACAGCTGATATCCTGCCCACCAGAATATTATGGCAGACCACAATCCCCAGGCTGCACCAGTACATACGGGTCTATAAAATGCAGCAGTTCAGCTACTGTGTGGACAACTGAAATGTCTGGGCAGGGGATGGGCACTTCAAGAAGCAGGGTGCACCAAGCAGCCAGGACAAAAACTGCCAGCAAAGCTGTGCTAATTTATCCATCAGTTCTGAAGCAGAAACTGAAGCAGTTTTCTTACTTTCCACTGACCACAAAAGCATATGCCCATTTGGCTTAGCACATAGTTTCTGCAGACATACTAATCTATGAATTGTTGTCCTTCCAGGACCACTGGATTCAACCTTTCAAGCTCTCCCTGCATCCATTTGCCATGCTGACTGCCCCTAAAGCTGCAGAGTATGCCTGGAAGCAAGGTGAGCACATTTCAGCCCAACTCCCACAACGCCAGGGTGCAAGGACATGGGGCAGCAGCACCTGTCCCAGCAGAGCCACCAAGTTACAGGCTGCTGAGCTCCAACAGCTGCACGTGCAAAGGATAGTGTAAACCTTGGTCTGTGCCTATTCTCTTGTGGGGGCATGGGGGGAGTGGGTACAGGCATTTCCTCATTGTAGCCTAGAAATAGTGTCTAGCTCAGGTGCCTGAAGTTCATGAAAATTGCAAAAGGAGCATTTTCCTCAAGGTGAGGTAAACAATAAGATTACACGTTTCTAGTAGAATCAGCCTTCATGTCTGACAATCAGTTGTTTGTTCTTAAGCTTGGACTAATAGCAGGACTTTTGCAAAGGTCACTTATGCTACTGGCCAGTGAAAGAGCCACCCCCTGCCCCCTTCCCTGCTTCTTCTCCAAGTGGAGCAAAAATGAAAGTAACTTCAGGAGCATTAAAGAATTTGAAGCTGGGACCCCTTACCTCCAACCATGTATTGCAACTGATCCCATGCAGTAGGTCTGTAAACCAGCCTGGGGCCACTCTGTAAACTCAAGATGATGCGAGACTCTTTCTCCCTCTCAAGGCATCAAGTACCCGACAGCAGCAGCATATCAAAAGACCAACCCACGTTCAGCAAGTAGAGCTAAAAAGGACAGCAAGCAACTGGACTCACTGACTAGACGGAAGCAACAGGTTGACAAAGTAGGTCTGAAGAATTCACACAAGCCAGTAAAACTGTTTTTGCAACACTACCACTGAATGTCAAAGCTGGAGCAGCACTTCTAGCCATCAGAGCACGCAAAGCCTTTCTTGTCTGCCCTTCTCAGCACTCTTTAGCATGAGATGTTTCATAGTAGCACTAATCTATAACATAGTGTCAATCCTAAATTGTACCTTTATGGCAACTGTATCACACCTTGGCAGGAGGTGTCACTCATGAGCTGGAAAGTCAACTCCAGTAATACTCAACATGCACACGGAAGGCACTCTTCTGGTAAGTATCCCTGCAAAACACATTCACTGCTATCACTTTTAGGTTAAAAAAAACTAGTTGAAGACTATTTTTGAAAAAAATTAACAAAAACCTGACTCCATAAAGAGCCCAGTAATGTCAGATTAGCCTAGCATGTACATGAATTAGGTTCTGCCTTTCTATTTGTCCATGATTTGCTAAAGCCTATTGTTTGCTGCAGCTCCACTGAGCAGGAGAGCTAAGAAAACATTCCAGCAGCAGGGCTGGATTTGACCGAGTAAAGGGGCTCCCCCACAGCCCTGAGTTCAATGTGCATCACATGTCACACAGCAGGAGGGAAGCTGCTCTGCCATGCACTCCCCATCTCTCCTGATGGATTCAGCCCTGCATGCTGTGCTTGTGCTTATTAACATTTGCATCCTGCAGGGAGCCACAGAAGCAAAACAAGAAAGCGCTCCAGAGAAGCCTGGAACAGAGTCAAAAGCAAGGAATGCAAAAGAAGCAAAGACATAACAAAGACCCAGACTTCATGTACCTCACTTAGCTGTAGGTGAGCTAACTGACGTCTTCTACCTTAGCTTTGGTAATACATTTGCGACTTGTGTTTTGGGTTTTTTTGTTGTTTTTGTTGTTGTTTTTAAATCTTAGCAGTCATTCCTTTCTCTCCACCCCTCATATCTTGTAGCCAAGACCCTGACATTCCCTCCTCTTCCCTTAGCCACAGCTCTCCTGCTTCCCTGCCAGTGTGTTGGGAGCTTACATTTTCCCATTGCGTCCCTACTGCTTCTCAACCCACCATGCTACTTTTACATAGCCAAAGAGAGGATGCAGCACTTCAGAGACAGGGATTACACACTTCCCTTTGTCCACAGTGCTGTGCAATTCCCACACGTGATCCAGAGTGGGGCAGGAATGAGCTTCCCTGCATGTGACATGAGGAGTTTGCCTTTCAGGATGATCCCATTTTCTTCAGCTCTCCCCTGTAACCATCCTGCTTTCTTTTTTCCTTAAAGGACTCAGCTGAAGAAAAAGCCTCTTCCTGCAGTGCCAGTATAGCACTGAAGCCTGTCTTCCATTCCCCATTTGTAGGTCTCTAATGGTTTGCCTCTGTTATGTCCATGCTGTGCTGCCCAAGAACACTCCCCATTTCTCAGAGGGGCTGTCACAATCCTCATGCTTGTACAAACTCTACCTTGGGAAAAGAGTTGGGTGCACATGGTTCTCCTTCCACATCCCTCTCTTCCTCTGGCTGGAAGCCTGGGCATGCAGTATGGGCTGTTCTATAGGACTTCTTCTACTTAATTTCATAGAAGTTTCAGGGCTCAGTGGGGTAGTAGATGTGTTTGCTGCTAAGAGGTGTATTTAACACTAACTGCAGGGTAGAGAGACTCCATCGAGCTCTTTACATATAAAAATGATAGAAATTAAGATTCCCAGCTACTTCTAGCCAAAGGATAGACATCCATCCAAAGTGTGGTCACATATTGTACAGCTGCATTAACCCATGCCTTGGAGATGGTCCTGTACTCTAATGCAAAATATCTGCTAAAGGAAAAACCAATAAACACTTGTGAAGCAAAACTGTTTTTCTTCTTCTGCCCACCGATTCTCAGTCACTGAGCCCATTTATGGAGATGCCAAAAGACAGCACTACACAAGAAAGCCTGGGAACGGTTAAACTTAATCACAGATTCAAAGGGTCTTTTAGAAGTCCTCATGGACTCAAAGCTTGCTTTCAGCTCAGCAGGTTCACAGTTTTTTTGGTTTTTTAACATATCACAAATTTCCTATTAAAATTGGTCTAAAAAAGAATGTTTTTGCTGTAAACACCTGTCCTTTCACTTCTGAGCTCTCCATGGGGAAAGACGTAACCACAGCTTGGTACATTCAGAAATTACAGATTAACTGGTGAGTCTTTGTGCTGATATTGATGGGGCTTCTTGGCCATACCATGCATCCCCCCCACTTTCGTTTCAAGCATGTGAGCCAAAATTCAAGGCCCAGGGAGTCAGATTAGAAGGCTAGAGGGGACTCAAGATAAACAGCAACATCACCCTCCCTTACAAAGGAACTCTTTAGCCATGCATTTCTGTAGCACCAGCTGTTTTGGCCTGGTTTGTTCACTCTGCAGGAAGTGGGATTACTGGAATACACTATCCAATCCCATTTAGCAGTTCCTACCTCTCCTCCATGGCCTCTGTTCACTGCTGGGACAGGTCTGACCTGTCACATTCAGCACAGGCTCATTCCTGGAGCTCAGAGCATCCATCAGCTTCTAAACAGAGGTTTCTGTTCTTGCAAACAAATTCAGTAGAGCAGTAAGGAGCAGCCAGTGCTAGGACTGGAGCAAATTTCATTCCAACTCAAACAGCATCAGGCTGACCCCTTGAAAGCCAAAGTAGAGATAAATTGTACTTTGAAATGAGGTCATTACAAGAGGGGAGGAGGGGATATTGCTGCTGAGCACGTGAGTAAGAGAACAATGGCGAGAGGGTGGTTAAGATTAAACAGCTAGAGAGAGATTAACATCTCATGACTGATTTTTGTTCACTGACCTGCAATAAAATAAACAATAAGACTTTAACAAATAGGTGATTAGCCATGTTATTCCAGTGCTGCCTTTGCTATTAGAGTAGTGCCATGTTCTTCACTTTTCATTGGCTAATGCTTCCTGGTTTTTACAGATAAGGCTGGTGGAGTTAAGAGAAGTAAGCAACAGAAAACTTGCTATGCTAACAAGCATAAAACCAGTATTTCATTTTCAGAGTGCAGGTACCTGCCCCTTCACTACTCCCTCCCCTGTTGGCTGGCTGGTGTCCGACTATCTGCACACAAAAATCAAGGCCAGCAGATCATGATTTGCCATTCATATGTTCACATTTTCAGACAGTCAAAATCAAGGAGCTGAAAGGTGCTTGTAGATGTGTGCACAGTGGGATTTGTGAATGATAGCCTTCTGCCACCTTGACTGAAATTTCCTCCTTTCCTGAGCTATATTGTCTCCTGAATAAAAAAAAGGTTTTGCTGTGACCAGACCAATTAGCCAGGACAACTTCAAATCCTCTTCTCAGCTATGCAAAAAGCAATGGACATAGTTCAGAGCTCAGAGGAGATACACAAATTTTGTTCTACAGGACCCAGAAGAGACCTCTGATCATACATGCAGACTTAGCACCAGTTGTCACATGCATACAGTTGGTGCCTACCACTGCACTGCAATCGTATCCACTGTGGGAAAGGCAAGAGACCATTCTGGGTCTGTTCTAAGTGCCTGAAATCATGGTACTGAGGCCTTATGAAGCAAGTGGGGAACTGAACAGGACATCATCCACTTTCCCTTTGGCAATTTAAGAGCTGCCCGTTGCACCCCAGAGACTGACTCCAGTAGCAGAATTCATGGTGGCAACTTGATACTGCAATTCACAGCCCAGTTTATGACACTGAAATCAGATTGTTTCAGCTAACTCTTTTGGCTTTGAACAACACAGCAGCTGAGACACAAACATACTGCCTGCAGGACCAGAGGTGCTAACTTCTTAAATTGCCCCACACGATCTTGAGAGTCAAAGTCTTTAGACCATAGCCAGTTGCTAGAGCACTGCCCATGCAAGCAAGCCCCGATTTCCCCCTCATTTCTGCTACAGTAATCCCGACTTCAGACATGTCACTACTGATTCTCTAGCTATTCTGAAAATTCTCACTCATTTTGGTGAAGAGCTTTTTCCTAGTCAAATGTCAGGTGGAAACATCTAGCATCCACCTTGGAATGGCAAAATACCCATTTTTTGTAAGAGGCTGTTTTTTCTGTAGGACAAAAATATAACCAATCTGTTCTGAAAAAAATCAATTTTGTCAGGACAGAATCTAATGTATTAAGTGCATAGGGCTATATATCTTCAAGAGGCAGCCAGCAACAAGAGCAAATACCAGAAGCAAAGCAATGAGAAATTCAGTTTTACTCAATCTCTCTAAAACAATGTAAAGGATGCTGACTCCATGAGGGGAGTCATGGTTGAAAGACCAAGCATCTCTGCTGCATTTTCTGTATCTAAGAATGGTTAAAGGTGCTCAAAACAGGAACTAGCCCACACTGGCTCCAAAAAGGAGTTTGTTTGCAGCAAAGCAGAGTCAGAGAGAACACAAACTGCCAAATTCTGCTCAGACTGTCACCAGGTCAGGTGCTGTTATGGAAGTGATTTGCCAGGTAATTGCACACAGGTATTCCCACTGCCAGTGCTAAACACATAGTCCATTTATGTGAAGCAAGTGTGGGATGTGGTCGCCAAAGACATCCAGGGCTAGACTTTACGGCCTTTCATGGGGACTTGCATTAACATTCCTTGTTCAAAGAACTCATGTGCAATCCATGCAGCAGTAACTGTTTCTCTACGTTATTCATCATCCCAAAGATCTACCCACCAGTTTGCCATACAGTTGGACTTGATCTTAAGCATCTTTTCCAACCTAAATGATTCTATGATTCTATACACAAGGGATTACACTTTGAAATAGAGTCAGATGTGACATTAAAGCACTGTGACAACTTTGCACTAACTTTCTGTATTAAGTATTTCTTGCATGCTCACACTGCCTGTTAGCAGTTCCACTGAGTCCGGGTCAGCAACCCATGCAGCCAGCAGAAAAAAGCAAGCCCTGAACAGTGTACTTACAGTAATAGCAACAATACATCAAGTCAAGTACAACAGTCAAGCAAACATCATGACAAGGAAATCCAACCGGATGAAGGCAGGTGGTCTGAGGTAACCCAGAAAGCTTGGAAGAATAGGGCTGAATATACTAAAGAGAACAGGAGGGTATATCTAACCTGTTTGGAAATGGTGAGTGCACATTAGCCCCTGTCATTTAATAAGGATACAGTCAAAAACAACATCAGTGGAGTGGTTTGTGGTGGAAGGAAGTGAAGGTGGAGGTTCCATATTCCCCCTATCTGTTTCCCCAGAAGACACTCTTGTCTTTCTCTTTCTTCTCTTGCTACAGCACTGCAAGTCCTTTTCTTTGGCCTGAAACCTCATAAGCAAAGTTGCACTCCACTAAATCTCCCAAACTTTGCCCTGCTCTCCCTGCTTACAGCCACAAACGGTCATTTGTTCCACTGAAGGTGGAGACTATGTAGTTGCAAATAGAACCCTTTTAAATAAATTAGATCTACAAAGGTGTTCATCTGCATGCCAAGTTAACTGACGAATCATGTTGACAAGATCTTTACATGCTTGAATAAGTTTCCCTAAATACATAAGATTATAAATCTGTTTCTGGAGTGCAGTAGTTTCTTTTGATCTGGAGCCTCACATACTGGTGATATAAGACAATTGTATAACCAACTTTGCATATTTCATGAAGAAGTTTGCTTTTAAGAGTCTAAGATTTAGGTGCAAGAAAATGATAATCAGAATAGAACAAGTCAAGGTTTGTTTCAGCCCTGCACCAAAGAAGAAAAAAATGACAGAAGAAAAGTTCCAAAATGGAGGAATACGGTTTTCTGTAACCTACTAGCTGTGCTTTAGTGTTAAAACACTCTGCTTTAGCATTAAACAAAAATCCTTCCTGGTTCCAGATAGAGAGCAACTTGAGTTTAATGCAGCCTGAGCCTGCTCCCTTTGAATTTTTCAAACAGACTTTCAAAGGGAAAAAATTGAACCAACTGACCCAAACTGATTTACAACATTAGCCAGTAATTCAGATACACTGATAAACATCTAAGAAGAACCATTTGATTTCAATCTTTTTAGTCTTCAGGGATGCAGCACTTAACCACACACCATGAAGGGACTGAAACTTTTAATCACTATTTCCTCCTAACGCATCTGTACACAATAGAAGGGATTAGTAGGCAAAAGCTAACACCACCACATGAGATGGAGACTTTTCCTGTTTCTAGGATAAAGTGGATGACAAAGGATTGAAATTAAAGCAAAGTTCTTCTGCTCTCACAAAATGAAAGATTACCATGCAACAAGCTTAGGCAAGAGGTAATTGACACAGAGCGGGGAAGGAGAGGAACAGACTTACACCAGAAACTGCTCAAGTCCACTGAGTCCGATAGCTTTCAGGCAAAGGAGGTTCTGTAAGGAACCATTCTTATACACAAATCCCCCATTGGGTCAGGTGCACCACATGAAACAGTTGATACCAGCTGAAAGTGTAGTCCACCCCACAGTTACACAATAATTCACTTGCACTTAGCATCAGCAAATGCAGCCCAAAACCCAGAAAAACAAGAGTGCCACATGGTAAATGCAATAAATGCCATAACTACAATAAAGACAAAACATGAGCTCTCCCCAAGGCTTAGAATGGACCCTTTTGTGTTACTTTTTGCAGATGCACAGCATTAGGACTATGGTATATAAAAGCAACCACAGTGTTTGCTCACAGCTCTCGGCTTTCACCTCAGCGACTGCCAAACATGGTAAAGGTAAGTGGAAGCCCCAGTATGCCAGTATCCTGCTCTGACACAGACACTGGGATAGACTATGAGTCTTTGCAAACATTTATACTGCAGATCATTTTTTTTATGAAGACAAGAGCTTCTGGGGCCACTGCTATGAATGTAGCAGTGACCACCTTGACCTGCAGTCCTATGTGAAACAATGCAATTCCATCCAGGTGGAAAAAGGCAGCTGGATGGTTTCTGAGAAGCCCAGTTACTCAGGACACCAGTACTTTTTAAAAAGGGGAGACTATTCTGACTTCCAGAAGTGGTTCAGTCTCTGCGACTCCATCAGGTCTTGCCCTGTAATCCTATAAGTGGGTACTGCTTGGAAGTGTATCACAGTTTAAGAAATTGGGTATAGTTTATCCTTTAAGAATATAATTATACAGTCTCTTCAAGTAACTCAAGAGTTCAGTAAGGCAATGCGAAGTTTCACTAGAGATTAAGGAAATAATCTGTTTAATATCAGTGCTATTTCCAGGGCCTGTTCATAACTTGTTGATGCTAAAAGAAAGCTGAGTGACTACTTCTAGGTAGAGAATGTTTTTACATTACCCAGAGAAGGGCTAGCAGGGCCATTTGATATAAAGTTCTGCTGTGGGCTCATGTATGCAACCTGCATATGACCATACTATGTTATGATTCAAAAACACAAGAACATGTTAAATCAGATTTGTAATTGGTACGGTTTTCCTAACATAAAGGCTGTGTGGGTTAAAATCAGGCAAAGAATTAATACTTGCTAAAGTACTTCTCTTATTAGCGAGATATACTATACAGTGTGAGCCTTAGCAGCAGGAACGCTCCACATGCCCGTGCTTCACATAGCTCAACAGTTTGCCACATGGCAATTGCCTGTGCACGAGTGTATAATGGGAGCATATGGAGTAATGTGGTAAATGTCTTTTAGTAGCATAATTCTGAAAAGGCCACATTATTCGTGCTTGGTCACGAGTCAGTGCCACAGATCATCTCAAAATCACATGAATACATTTTCTTCTATTGTCACAATATGGAGTCCTTATAAATCCCATTTCTTCAAATCATAAAGAATCCTCCATTTACTTCCTACCACACATGTGATCATACCCATTTGCTGGCACTCCTGAGCTACGCCATGTGGGTAAGAAGTAAACCTCCTCTATTAGCTTCAAAACAGTGAGTCTCTTCACAATCCTATCTCCAGATTAGAACACAATTTCTCAGAAACGCACATAGTAGCTGGGAAAGTTGCCTTTTTCTGTACATCTCTCTTGTTCAGTAATGTCAGAATCAGTTAAATTTCTGTCTTTCCTACATTTTTGCTGTGTTTGTGACTGCAGAATTCTCTTTCCCACAAGATTCAGCTCTATGAAAAAGGAGCTCCAAGGCCAAATGTTGGGGTTCACTGACGATTGCCCATCAGTCCCAGGCTACATCCATCTCCCTGAGATCTGCTCCCTCAATGTTTTAGGTGGCTCTTGGATCTTGTATGAAATGCCCAGCTTCAGGGGCCGACAGTATTTACTGAAACCCAGGGAATACAGAAGAGTTCTTGACTGGGGTGCAGTAAATGCCAAAATTGTCTCTTTGCAGAGGCTGACTGACTTGCACTGAGTTATTACTCCCACACTAAATAAACAGTGAATGCGTTCCAAAATCCTTGTTCAAATGAATCTTCCTTCAGTACTACAAACAAATTAAAGTTGCGCAGTCCAGAGGGAAATCCGATTTCTCTCACATTTTAGGGGGAGAGAGGGAATACTTCAAAAAAATATTCACAATTATCTAGCTGTGGATAGTATAGAGCTCCTTAGTTATTACTTCACTGGATATAGCTATTAATGGGAAGGTCTGATTCTTTCATCCAAGTTTTCCCCAGTTTCACAAGTTTTGATCTAAGAAGAGATTCCAGCTTTATACTTACCAGGGTTAACAATATGCAGTTGGACATTTAACAGTTACTTAAATTATCATGTACAGTGGAACAGAAAAGTAAGTCCCATTAATAGTTATATCCAGTGAAGTACTGACTGAGGAGGAAAAGGACAGAAAGATGCAGAGGAACTTAGAACAAGCTGAACACTGTATTTGGCATCAAATTCTTCATGCAAACAAGCTGCTCCATGCTACACCCAGTCCAGCAAAGCTTTCCAGTCTTATCTCAGCTTATTCCTCCAGAAAGAATTTTTCCACATCTTTGAATCACACCACCTTTATATAGCATGTTTTAGTGAACCTGTACTTCATGAACTAAATGTTTACCTGGTATCAATCGCCCTGCGCCTACTAACTTCAGAGCTGTACTGATCTGCTGCAGCAGGAGATTGAGCCAAATCCCTTAGTTGCCAGGCTATTCTGCATGCAAAAAAAATTAATAAGCAGACCAGTGTGGATTAGAAACAGGACATCATCTTGTTGTGCTGGAAAAATTCTATTGCAGCATTAATTATCTTTCAGGTAATTATGTATATGCCTACTAATCATCTCTGAATCCTGTGCCAGCAGGCACTCTGTGCAATAATGAATGAGAGCCATAATAAAATATAACAAAACACAGTTAAGGGTTCTCACATCTTAACATACCTCTTCTTATTTAGGTAGTGGAGTCTAGATATTTTTTTTTCCATGCATAGTTAGGCAAATATACTACTACTCTTCAGCAAGGTACTGGACACTTTTGGAAAGATAAAGCAGTAGAGAGAGCACAGAACTACTAGGACACTCTGCAACTTCATCTAGTATATGTTTAACTTTAAATAATTTCATCTGGGCTTTAAATGGTAGGCTTTGATTTTGTTTTGCCTAGTAAACATTCTGATAATGGCGTCCTTGAATAAAACCAAACAACAGTGAGGTAGACTGCTTAAAACTCACATCTCCACTTGCTAATGTCAGAGACCTCATTTAGCCATTATTTCACGCTCACATGACCCATCAGTAATAGCCTGTTAGTGATCCTCACCAGCCTTTCCCTGACAACACTGGAGAGGAAAATAGAACTGTTCTTTGCCCTTCTCATCCTTTCTGTTGTACATGGGACACTATGTCTGCCCTCCTGCCTGTCCTTTACTGCACAAAGTAGCCTGTTCAGCTGCTGCAAATGTCTGGTGTACATAAGAACACCATGCTTCAGCCAGAGAGAAATGGAGCATGAACAATTCAGCTCTCAAGGCAGAGGTGTGAAAAAGCATGTTTCCTCTTGTTCACAAATGCCTAATATTGTGCATTTATAGGAACCACACAATGTAAGCAATATGTGTGTTAGCACGCCTAGGTTAGCCTGCTAAGCCAGGTTTGCAAAGTAACACAGCAGTTCAAGCACAGTATCTACTTGTCTGCTTAGAACAGGGAACCAAAATATTTAATTTGCCTTCAGCAAGAATAAAATAAAGAAAAAACAGACCAGCTCTCCATACAGCAATTAACATATGCCTACATACTCCAACAAAGTATCTAGTTCAATTAGTGCAATTGAGAAATATGGCTATGTAGTGATGTGTAAGTTACATGCTGGCATTCCTTTGGCCAAAGGCAAGAATGAACAGAAATGTACTATTGAGTGATCAGAGTGATAGTTAGGATGCCTGGATTCTTGACTCTGCTGCATCCTAGAGTCTGGGAGTGGCTAAACCTCTCAAAATCTCTCCACCTGAGACAGGAATGGTGGCAATTCCTAGTTTTCACAGAGCACTTAGAGATTTTACTTGCTTCTGTTTGCAAATGCTCAGAGAATCTCAAGCAGATATTAAGAACAAGGGCGCTAGAGGAGAGAGCACTGGGAATTCACAGAGAGCATCCAAGTTTTCGCTAACAAGCCTTCTAGGTTTCTGTAGCTTGTTTTATGGTTGGTAGCACGCACTACAGTTGCTGGCATGCAGGGCATGTTTCTCTACACAAACACTCACTGCTATTTTCAGATTATCCCTATGCTTGAGTTTTTCTGGGGTGCAAAATTAGTCAACCTCCATGTAAAAATAGCTGTCATAACAGCATGCTAGTTAAGGGCAACTGGAACTGATGTAAATAACCAGACTCCTCAGATCATGGACACCATTTCGCTAACAAGATATTTTGGCTCCAGAGTTTAAGATCAACCCACAGCCCTTCTTGCAGTGCACAGCCCATCTGTGGCATAGGGTCCTGGGAGGGGAAAGTCTACAAGATTCAGGGAGAAGCTGGATGAGTACTTGGAAGACAAATCCATTGAGGGTTATTAAGAGAAGTAACCTCCTGCTCAGGAAACCTCTTGAGCTAAAAATACTTGAGGTCTTGAAGTTTGAATGAAGTATCACATGTATTTACTTCATACCTACCCTTCCCTCAGTGCCTACTCAGGGTCGCAGTTGCTGCCAAGTTACTTGACTAGCTGGACCGCTGGTCTGACCCATGATGGCGGCTCTACTATTGTAGCTGTAGCTACAATAAGGAATTCACATATCGCTGTCCCTACTCTGGTCTCTCAAGCTCCAAACTTCATCACGAAGCCTAGTGCCCACTGTATTAAACTATGAAGGACCATACGGGACCCAAAAGACAACCTGGCTCCACAAAGCAAGCATGATCACAGAAAGAACAAAAATAAGAGTAACACTTTCGAGCCTGTCAAAGATCTTTGAGAAATGCAAGCACAGGCCTGCACATAGAAGTTGTTCTTGTAAGTTAAATTCAATTTGTTTAGCTTTAACCATCAGGAAGAAGTTATTTTTGATCCAAAGAAAACATGGAGGTATTCGAAAGCAACTGCTTGACTTAAATTCACACTCTTCCCTCGGTCTGCTCTCAGTGTTAAAGGCTACAATTTCCTGGCTGACAGGAGTGATACCATTTACAACACCCACTAGAAGCACAACTAGAGCTGTGTAAAAACAGGCCAGCTAAAGATTTGCCCCTTAAGTTTTGTAGCTTCATGAAATGACCGTGCAAGACTCATAGTGAAAGACACATGCAAGAAAGCACAAACACGTAGCATTTTGGTTCAACAAGAAGTCAGTGAGACAGAAAGATCCACTATTGCTCCATGCAGTATGAGCAGGAAATATGAAAATGTGGCACTGCACATGACAGGATTTTGTGAAAGTTAGTTCAAAGGTGGTTGTGGAAGGAGAGAAAAGGAAGGCAAGCAGGAGAGAAAGGAATGGTCCCTGAAAAAAAAAAAAAAAAAAAGAAGTAGTTATAGAGAAAAATTTAAAACTCCAGAAGAATAACTCAAAACTATGCTGTTTATCTTTTTCCTTTGAAAAACAGACTTGGATTATGTTTGTTTCAAATAGATAACATTTCCTTGATATTTTAACATTGGTTTCTACTTAGGCCTTGTAATTACTCGACTGAATGGAAAATACTTAAAAGGCCTGATCTAGCACTGGTAGCACAAAACTTTTACTAACGTTACCTCCCTGACATTAGTCAAATGAGACAAACTGAGAAAAAAAAATTCCTGCTAGAATCCGAAGATGATCAGCAGCAGAATAACTTTACCTAAATAGCACCAGAGTACATCAGCTTCAGCGTGCCCTTCCAATAAATTCAAAACAGCCCTGACTTTGAGGCTGCCTATTGCCCAGACTTCTAAAGACCACTGTAATGTATTGATTGACTGAGAATGACACTACACCGTATAAAACGAGGGCCCAGAATGAACACAGTCCTGAGCATCTTTGGGATTAATCAGATCAGACTGAAAACTTACCACAATGTTCTTCCTAAACAACATTTTTTTAAGTTCAACTGCTATTAAAGCTTCTTCAGCTGAAGAAATTAAGAGGCTATTGTATTTTGCCTCAATGACTCCTACCTGAGCTCCAAAAATCACAAAAATCATGTACATCTCTCAAGTGAAACATTTCTCTGTGCAGATTTAAAAAGGCTTTTCTCTGCCTTAAACAAGTTGGTATCCATCCTCCAACTTTTAGTCTCTTTATCTATGAACTCTGAATTACATTAATATAGAATTTCAGCAGTGAAGCCTGGATGGATGTAAACATCCATTACCACACATTTTTTATTACATCATTTTCTCTCTCATACACATACTCTTACTGCTAAAGGAAACAGGCAGCAATACCTGGTCTGAAGGCTCTTGAAAATCAGGACAGTTTTTATTAGCATACTCTGAAAACTGTTTTACAGTATCATCACTGGGAATCCATATGCTTTAAAAAAACCTTTGTCTCATATAATCAGGGAACAGAGAGAGATTAAAAATAAAGTTACAATTCTGCTGTAGCATTTCCAGCACATTCACTTGCACATGTTCCATTGGTAAAATAACAGAAATATTGCTCGACCTACACTTCACTGATCCTCTGCTTACTGATGGTAACAATAAAGTTGGTACCCCACAAACTACTGCTATTGCCTTTTGTTTAGAGAATGACAATGGAGAGAGGGAAGGGAAAAAACATTCATTCTCTTACTGAGAAAAAAATTCTCTTTTATCCTATTCCTGTGGATGCAGCAGTCTGCATTCTATATAAAGGACTGCTGATGACTCCTGCATGCTGAGGTCTCATAGCTAAACCCTGGCAAAAATGGCAAAGGTAAGAACAGCTGAGTGAATGGAACACTGACAAACAACCTAACACATGCATAGGTAGCTCCTTGTAGGTAAGTATGTTTGCAAACATAGTTTGTTGGTCTAACAACAAATTAGCAGAGGGGAAACTTCAAGTGTTTTTTTTTATTATCTAGCTCTCATAAGGTTCCTAAAGAAAGCCTATGGAAGCTTTCAAACACTAAAACATTTACACATAAAAAAATCTTCTGGTTTTATTTTTCTGTCTGGCTAGTTTCCCTTTGAGTTTGTCAGTTGCTGAAAGAGACCTAAAGTTTATTTATTCTTAGTCTTCCAAGATGTACAGGAAAATAAGGGTGAAGTACTCTATTAGAAACAAATGTAATAAATATCACTAAACAAAGCCACTGAATTTAGGTATCTCTAACCCGATTTTACTGCTGCTAAGATATACCTGCCCAACAGGACCTAGAGGGCTCAATGATTAATTTGGGTTAGACACAACAGTCTTGTTTTGTTCCTGTATCATTAAGACAGGTGAAAGCTTCAGCACAATTCAGATGTAGAACTATTCCTTCCTTCGTCTGTATTCTACATTGCAGAAGATTTCTAGGAGCCCAGGACCGGGTACAAGAGACGGGCACAAAGTTGAATGATTGTGTGATACACAGAAGTCATTCACAGAGCTTTCAGTCAATGAGCAATTCGGGTTTCACTTTCTCCAAATGTTCCCAAAAGCTTGCCATGAAGCTGCTGACAGGCTATTTCCAGCGTGAAATCATGATGAAAGTTGCCCCTCACTTCCCAGAGTCCCAAAGGGACATCCACCTGTCAGTCATAGAACTAGAGAAATGACAACACCAGAAACTATCTGTGCACCCTATAGAAAATGGACATAAGGGCTTTGCTAGTCTTTGGGCCTGGTAAAGCGCCCCTATGGACCCCTGCAGTCTTTGGATTGTTTTGTACAATCTAGGCAAAACAAAGCCAGCTTTCAAATACTTTCCAGTGTGACTGGGGTTACTTTTGTTTTATTGCAGATCACTTTCTTTGAGGACAGAAACTTTGAGGCCTGCCTCTGTGAAGCCGCCACAGACCAGCCAGACCTGCGTGCCCACCTCAACTGCTGCAACTCTGCCAAGGTGGAAACTGGCTGCTGGATCTATGAATGTCCCAACTACGTAGGCCATCAGCACTGCCTGAGGAAGGGAGAATATCCTGACTACCAGCACTGGATGGGCTTCAATGACTCCATTAGGTCTTGTATCATCACATCAGTAAGTTTTCCATATTGTCTCCATGTATGTTACTGCCTATATTAGAATCTGAGCACTACACCCATTTTGACAGCTCTGGCACTTCTCCAGAGATCTCTACATAGAAAGAGGGTAGTAGAAAGGACACTTGCCAAGTTCATCTAATGGGGTTTAGACTCCCAAAGAGGCAGATAAGTCAAGTGGGATTCTCAGCCAAATGAATGGTTGGTTAGTGCGGGGGAGGGGCGGGGCAGAGTTTATTATATTAATTTTTATTTTAATATTATGTTTATCTATTATTTTACATATATAAAAGCACTTAACTTCACCTATCTTCTCAAAGCTACTCTGGCTATACATGATCTACACAAGGAAGTTTAGTACAAAGCTGAGAACCAAACCACATCTCCCATGCCCCAGTCAATGCTACTCATTCAAGGTAGGCAAGACTGGTAACTACACTACTACAGAGGCAACCTGACACATCCCATTGTAGAAACACCACCATGTATTTGAGCTGCAAATGAAGGCATATTTGCCTCATGATAGATTTTTTTCTGAATACCTCAGCCCAGAATACATCTGTGTTTTCCCGTCCTAGATGCATTCCCTGGAAGAGTTTTACTAAGAGGGGAGACATTGCCAAGATGTGAAAGATTTGAATACTCACACATAAGGTTAAGGATTTGAGATTTGGCCCTGGAATAGCCTTGATGCTGGAATGTGTCCCTCCAACATTCATGAAAAATTAAGTTCATCCATGTTGTATGCCTTACGTACAATTCAGTTTCCCTGCCCAGTAGAAGCTTCATAGACCATCACAGCAAGTTTCCAGATACATTCCATCTGCATAGGATTATGCAGCTATTTTTTAGACTGACATGCAGTTCTGGGCTTCACTTAGCTAAGCCAAGTTCTGGGTCCAAGCGCTGAAAGCTAGGGCAGACACTCTTGTGTCCTTTCAAGCTGTAGAGGGAAAGAAGTCACAAATGTGGAAGGTGGGAAAAAGATGGACTGATGGGAAGTATCTGAGAAGGAGTAGGGAAACTGAGAATTAGTATGGGGGTAGAAAAAAATATCCTAAAATTAGGACACATTTCTGCATGCTTTCTAAATTCAGAACAAGAGTGTCCAGAAAGTTTGATTCCACCAATGTAGATACTAAAGTGTTGTTGGGTGTGGTTGTGGGTTTTTTTTAAACTGAGTAAGGTGTTGGTCTTTGTACAGCAGCAGTACTCTTATGTCTATACAACTGCACTTGAGCACCTGCAAAAACTGTATTGAGCACTGATGCAAGAGCAGAAAGTTTTTTTCTACAGCAAATCTTTGCTGTGCTAGATACAAGAGCCAGAGACAGTCTTACAGTTTATCATCTTGTAGATGAAACCAAAAAAACCTGCCCACCTAAGGCTGTGCAACAAAAATAGGATAAAAAAAAGCTCCCCTCTGTCCCAGCCAGAGCCTTATCCAGTTATTACATCAACACCTAGGAACACTGAGGGCACATAACTACTGTGGCCATCTAGGTGTATCAATGAGCTTATTTCTTACCTGCATGTACAGTTGAAGTGTGGTGATCTTGGCTGGACCCCACTTCCACTTCCTGCTCTACTGCAACTCTTTCAAAGCAACTGCAGTTCTGCTCTCACCAGAGCAGAAAGGACTTACAACACTGCTGCTTTAAATTAGGACCCAGTCAGATTTATTCCTGTTAAACTGACTTTTCTGCACATACTAGTGGCTACTCACTGTTGCGTTGCTAGCATCACCATTGCATCTAGCAAGCTGTGGTCACCTAGAACTGCCACTTGACACCCTGTGCATCCTTGCCTGGATTTGCCTTCACAGATCCAGGAGTACAGCTGGCTACAGATCTATGAGAGGAATGACTTCAGAGGTGGGTTGTTGGAGTTCATGGATAACTGCCCTTCTCTCCAGGGTGACTTTTACTACAAGGACATCCAGTCTTGTAACATACTTGAAGGAAGCTGGGTTTTCTATGAATAGCCACACATCTGAGAACAGCAGTACCTCCTGCAGCCTGGTGAACACAGATGATTCACTGACTGGGGTGCCATGACTGCAGAAGTTGGATCCTTCCAACCAACAGTGGATACTTCCTAACCAGCAGTTTCCTAAGCTATATATCAATGAGTAGTGCCATTAGTACTTTATTAAGGCCAAGGAGTTTTAGAGCCTACATGGATTAGGCTCCCTTTTCTTGCAATGCTTTTAGCCTTTGATTTAAAGCCCAGCAGAGTCAGAAAGTGTCTTGACTACAGTGGGCTTCAGAGCCTGTGCTTGCTTTACTGGTAGGAGTAATTCCCCTGAAATCAGTGGAGGTGAGCTGGTAACACCCAAGCTCAGAGAAAACCTGCATCTAAATTGCCAAGCTGAATTTTTATCTGGAGTCTCAGATAAATTTAAAAATAGCATCTTTGAAGAAAAATATAATTTTGGACCTTAGAGGGAAAAAAAAAAAAAAAAGAAATACATTCTTCATTTATAATAATGAAAATCCAAAAAACCACCTGTAACTGAGTCCATGGGACCAACTCTGTGCTTGAATTTATTACAGGATGTACCTTACATCCTTAATGGCCCCATAAAAGCAACGTCCTCCTCAGAAGTACTTCTCCTGTGAATAGACTGACAAGTTCACAGCCACAGTATCATCATGGAAATACTGTATACCAAGCCTGAAGCTGTGACACTAGATGACTTAAGACAGAGCAAAGCATTTACAGTATTTACCATCTCATTAATAAGAATTATTTCTGTCAATAACTATTTGTAATGCTACAGATAAAAAAATAAGTCTTTCAGTTGCTTATTTACTTCATGATGAAGAAAACAGTCCTGGTGCCCAATAGTTCCTGCTGCCATTTGGCATTAAGTCCAGAGTTCTGCACAGGACTGCATCGCTCCTATTTCCAGCTCAGGGCCTACACTACACTCTTTTGTTTAGCCAGGACCTCACACGGTAGACATGAACTCATGAAGAGAGACCCATTATGTTAAAGAGTCTACAACCCATTCAGCATGCAAGTGGGCCCCAGAAGTTTCACACATACTTTAACAGCAACCTATTTACACAACGCTGCAGGATATTTAAAACCCTGCTTTCAAGTTTTACAACACTAGCCATCATTCAGGTCTCTATACCCTTTCTGTGTCAGGAGTTAGGCTAGCAGAGTCCCTGGAGGATTCACAAGGGCACAGGGAAGGGCACAGCCTTGGTTTCACATTCCACTTAGAAGCAGGCACTGTGCTGCAGCCAACATCTAACTTCTGGGAGGCCACAGTGCTAACGTTTTGCAAGAATCCCAGCTCTAGCACCAGTTGGAGCTCTCCTAAGCCCGTTTCCCTTTAGTTACTTCCCTTCATTTGCATTCTTCCCCAAACCAAGAGGAGTTAGGCCTTAAGTTGCCATAGCAGGCGTTCTCAGGACAACCTTACCCTTTCAGCTGAGATGGAATTAAGTTCAGACAGATCACCAGAAACTACCAACATGTACACATCCTTAAACCTTCGTTGCTGCCATGGTTTTTGTTTTTTGCTGACATGCTGATTGCTTTCAGGAGCCATGCTGCAGATCCAGATCTGCTGAGCACTGCGACATAATGAAATCATTCATTAAGCAACTTCTTAACTGAAGCAGAATGCTTTGAAGTACAAGTACGGTAACTTCACTGATTGCTGACAATAAGATGATGGACAGTAAGGGATGGCTTTGAGTGAAAAGTCTGTTTGGTGGAAGAAGGAGAACACTTCTACGATGCATCTTGTGTAGTAATGACAGGTGGTTTTGAGCATCTGCAAAACAGAGACAGCTATAGCATGAGTCTACACATGCTAGCTCTAGCACAGCTAACCTAAGTGACAGCAGAAGGGAGGGGCAGTTCTAAGCCTGAACACCCATCCATGAATCTTCACTGACTGTTAGAACTTATAAGAACCCAAGCAGACCAAAGCATATAAACACATACTATATATTTAGTCTGGAAGAGTCTTTAAGATATACCCTACACAAGAATATTCCTAGCACAGCTGCAAATTTAAGGCCTGTGGTAAGGGAGCCTATACTACAAAAAAGGAGCAGAAGAGATCAAGTCACTGCCTGGGCCTTTTACAGCAGGGGATTCATTATATTGAAGGTCCCCTGTGGAAACAAGCTGAAAGGACAGAGAAGGACAAAAAAAACCCCTCACCATGGTCACAGGCTACCCTGGGGTAAATTCCTTCCTGAATTTAAGTCTGGTGAATGGTTTAACCCTGCATATATGAAAGCAGAGTAGCCAGGGACCAGAGGAACTTAATGCTATTAGCCAGACCATCACCTTGCAGCTTTAGCTGTGGCTGGTCTCCAACACTTTGAAAGAAAGCAACTAAAATCCCTAGATACCAGCTTATGTGTCAAGGGCCAAAAAAAATTTTCTTCCCATTTCCAAGTGTTGCAAACAACTAACAAGCCCTGAACTACCTGGGATGCAACGTGAATATGGTGACAGAAGGAAGATTAAACACTAATTAAGTTTGCTGGCTTACCTAATAGAACAATTGCACACATTTTGTGCAATCATAACCAGAGAAACTCAAGGCAAGTTGATCCTGTGCTACCTTCAGCAAAATACCATCTTGGAGGCCTTGGCATCTTGCAAGGGCCAGCTTACTCCTTTCCAATAGCCACTCCAAAAGCAATCTCAAGTTATTTTGGCTTGAATGTCTAGAAACTAGCATCTACAAAGTCCTATTTCTTTACATACAGCAAAAGGTATTTTGATAGTGGGAGTTTTACACACAGCTGCCAAGGCCACTTGCTTACTTAGAATGTAAATATTACTCCTTGCTTCTGTGCAAGGGTCTGTTTGTAAAGGAAGATGGAAGAATTGAGAGGCAGGTTTATTTCTAAGTATGTTTCAGGTCTTCATTGTTAGTAAACAAAGCATTAGCCCTAAGACATCAAGCAAAACCTCAGATAAAAGCTTTGCTATAGACCTATCTCAGCATGATTTTTGCTGGCCTGGGGCATGAACTCAGTAGAAGCCTTACAGCAAAACAATGGTTTTGAGAATATCTGAAAGTCAGATCAGATTTTTGTCTTTTTCATTTGCTTCTACAGAAAATAAGCATGGCTTAACAAAAGCATTACTATAAGGTGTGTGGCTTTTCCTGCCACTTCAGAGGTCCCTGGACTCAAAGCTGCAATCCAATGTGGTCCATTCCTTTGCTGAATCTTTCTTAACCTCAAATTCACGGGTTCTCCCTATCCACACCCTTCTTTCTACCCATTCCGTTACCTGAACTTGCTGACCAACAAGTTCAGTCCATAGTAAGATGACCGAGTTACTAATATACAGCTACTGAAGAGAGTTAAAGTACAAAACCACAAGTAATGAACAAAGTACAAGAAACAACCACTGTTGTAAACAGACAGTTACCACAAGACAGCAGCTAAGGGACAATGAAATACAAACGAACACTGCCTACCTGGCTATTTAAGGTCCATGAAAAAATTGGTACATAATTATGGAAGAGAAGATGATGAAGTGTGATAATTAGCTTTCACAGCTGGACCAATCCATAAACACATTTTAAAATACCCATACATAGCTGGTAATGCTGCTTCTTACATCTTCCTCCATTCTTTGGCTTCTGTATCTTTAGCTGAGTCTTTATGAAGGTAAGTACACTGAAATATAAATCCATCTAGAATTATACTATACCTGTGGGGACAAAGCTGTAGCCCACCTTTCTCCACTAACCTCTCTCATTATTGCTTATATTTGCATGTGAGAAAGAACTCATAGTAAATACTGAATATTTGTCTGTACCAACAGGGACAGATTAAACTTGACCTACACCCAGTGATGCAGACATCTAAAAGCCACCTTAACAGCTTTACAGTGAGCTACCTGGCTTAGGAAAACCTCTAGAAGGTCAAGGCCAAGAGATGACTCACTCCGTATACCACCAGGACAAACTGTCCTGTTGCAAAACACAAATACTTCACCTTCCCTCTAGAGCACCTATATAGAGCAAGAACTACCTACACAAACAGCAGTAACTACATAGGCCCACCAGGACAGCTATATCACTACAACTCCAGCAGAGTGGAAAATGGCTGCTTTATAGTCTGTGAGCATCCTAATTACGTGGGCGGCAGCACTTAACAAGGGAGGAGTCTCCCATTTCTATCAGAAGATTTTTGTTGTTGTTGTTTTCACTAGAGTCTGTTGTAGGACTTCTGTATGCGGGAGCAGCTGCTGCTACTTGCAAAAGTCAGTAATGCAAGAAAGCAAAGCAGTATCTCAGAGAAGAATTGGGGTTTGTACATGGCTTTGTTTGGGCCTGACTTCTTCAAAGGGAGTAAGTTGTAAGAGAAGTTTGAAATAGGCTGCTGTTTAGCCTAAAAAAGGCTGTAAGAAGATGTGATTAAAAATTTGTAACTCAAAAAGCATGCTACAAAGAGTTTCCTTTTCCCATATTACTGTGGAAGGGACAAAACAATGGTTTGCATTTGCTTCAAAGCTGATGCAGGTTGGCTGTTAGGAACAAGCTCCTAGCAGTAACTCAAGCCCTGAGGTAAGTTCCTCGGGGAGAAGGCAGAATCTCTTCCATTCCTGGAGGCTGTTTGTAGAGAGGGGTCTAGGGTGGTTTAAGCATAGCAGATCCTCCTGCCCTTGGGACAGAGCTGGACTCTGAGGTCTTATTTTTTCCTTGATGGAAAAAATTATGTCGCAAACTCAAGGCAGGAGACTATTGTGGCTAGCAGCAAGTACCAGAGCACAAGTATCACGACTCAAAATAATTTTACAGACTCATTTTTGTCGGTGTCCTTCCATCCGTGCTAGGAACTATGTTTAGATATTGCAGCAAAAGATATTTCTCCCACTCCCACACTGCTGATCCACATGATACAACACCGAGCACAGATTAGCCCTTAAATTTCTTCTAAAAGCAAGACAAATATGCAAAGGCATGTTGCAGGGACCGATCTTGTACTGTCTCTGGGCTCTTGGTGACACTTATCCATCCCTAGCAATTTTTTATACAGCAGACAATATAATGGTATTTCACAGTCAATTCCTCTGCAAATGACTTCCAAACCTCTCATGAAACCATTGCAGTGGTGTGAATTGCCCTGCAAAGGAATCGACTGTGCAATGAATGGCAATGAATGCTTCATCCTGTGAAGCTGTACAAGATTTACCCAGGTGAGGAGACGACCCAGCGGCAGAAGGACCAGGGCTGCGGCCAGAGGTTGCAGGGCTGTGATTCTCCCAGCAAGCTGGGGAGAAGGCCCCAGTCTCCTTAAATCTCCTTCTCTTGCTTTGGAGCCTGACACAACATCAATTTCCAGCCCCGCTTTCCAAGGGAGTGGAGGGACATGGAGGGAGCCCGTTCCCCGAGGAGTGCCCTGCGAGTCACGCTAAAAGGATCCTGTTATTGACTGAGCGGGAGGAGAGGTCCTTTGCTGGAGCGCTGTGCCTCATGAGGGCCCGTGAACTACCAGTGTGCTTGGAAAGAGTCCCAGCAGTAAGCTGAGGAATGTCTTTTCACGTTTCTCCTTTAGCAATCTAACTTATTTTAGGAGCATTTTCTAAGTCCTATGCAAGCTCTGCACACGAGGTATGGGCTGCTTTGAAGCAGTAGCAGATTGTAGGTATGAATACACCCACGCTCGTCAGGCTACGCAGGCAGGCCCCTCTGGAGCATGGGTAAAACACACGCATGTGCTCGATAAACCGTATCGCTTGTAAAGCAGTACGGAGGTTTCCTGAGGCGCGCTGTCCCACAAGGACTGGGAACGCCGACCCTTCCACGGGCAAACAGACCCCTCCTGCGGCAGAGGGGCGCGCCGCCTGACGGGGACCGGCCGCTCCTCAGGTGAGGCGCCGTGGGCGGCGGAACGGCCCCGCCA